GAACTAAAAACAGTCTGAAAGGCAATAAAATTTTCTACATATACTCAAAAGAGCAATTTTTATAAACGAAAATTAACTGTGATTATTTTGTTATGAAATGCAAAATATAAACTTTATTATATATGTTATGAAATTCCAAAGGACTTACCCATTGTTTTTTCTTCAACCTTGAATCATGGTGATGGTGTAAATATAGTCACACTATATACAGTAATATTTTGTTCCGACTGTACACGAGTTTGAACTGTGTCACTTCACNATACGAATACGAACTAAAACCTGTCTGAAAGGCAATAAAATTTTCTACATATACTCAAAAGAGCAATTTTTACAAACGAAAATTAACTGTGATTATTTTGTTATGAAATGCAAAATATAAACTTTATTATATATGTTATGAAATTCCAAAGGACTTACCCATTGTTTTTTCTTCAACCTTGAATCATGGTGATGGTGTAAATATAGTCACACTATATACAGTAATATTTTGTTCCGACTGTACACAAGTTTGAACTGTGTCACTTCACAGTTTACAATACACTCTGACGCGCATGGCACTTCTCGAAGTGGTCCACCTCACACAGAGCGACACCACCCTCTTTACAATAGAAGAGCGTGCTCCTGCTTTTCTTATTTAGTGAAACACACGACAATGTCTTTGTTTCCCTTTGGTTGGCCAGTGTTGTGAATGTTTCACCTCCAGTCAACTCAGCTGGGGCCTCCGATAAGTTTGGCCTTCCCCCAAGAAACGCCACTGACTGTGATATTCGGATTGTGCAATTGAAGAATCATCTTGGGGGAGGGGGGGGTTCTAGCAGAATCAAATAAATTATGTTGATTGACAAAGCGACACTCTCACCTGTTGGTAATACTCCCAAAATAGTGATGCAAAGTAATTATAATACTAGTCAAAAAGAGTGCCAGTCCGACACTGATACCGAAAGTCGCAGTGGCGAAGATGCCTTTTACTCACAAAGTAATACTGGCTCAGTGGGTTTATACCTCTTCCAAGATGCAAAATAAAAATGATATATGAAGAAATATATGACAGTCTGACTCTGACCTTTCAACTGATAAAGAAATATTAGACAGTCCGACACTGACTTCCTAACTGATAATTCGTCATTGAAAACCAATCCTTTCATGTGGCACACTTCCTTGAAGGCTCTGGAAACACTCACATGCAAGCACAGAAGCATATTTGCTCCGCAGTTCTTGAAACAAAGCTGGGCTATATTTGGCTGACCAGGTCATAAACAATCATATCTAAACGTAAATAGTATCAAAACCAGTACCGTGGTAAATGATGGTCTCCAACATGAAGCAAGGTTTATTTGAATATGGTTTTGTGATCATTTTGTTTTTAATATTTGAGATCATGCTAACCACTGTAATTTAATATCAGACTTGTCTCTCTCCATTGGTTAAATTATATTTCAGTTCAGAAAATGCAAAAGCATGGGGAGAAGAACTGCAGAAAGTACTATCACGAGACCGTAATTATGTAATGGTGACATATGTGCAATTGGTAGGGGTCTGTCTGTACGTCTTTGTTCGTCCAGAACACACAGCCTTCATCCGGGATGTAGCTGTGGATTCAGTCAAGACTGGCCTGGGTGGAGCCACTGGTAAGTCAGGTTCTTTTAATTCCAGACCAACTTAAAATACTAATTTATGCCTTTTGTGTTTATTTTGTCTTATCTAAAATTTATTTTTAACTAAATAATACATGCCTGTACACACGCACGTGCTCCCCCCCTTCTGTTCTTGCGCTCTTCCTTCACTCTGATGTACATCAAGTGGGATTTGTGGTGGACAAAGTGGCACTGGGGCAGATATTCTCCAAGTACTTCGGTTTCCCCTGCCAATCTTCATTCCACCAACTGCTCCAAAATCACCCTCACCTATCATCTGGGGCTGGTACAATAGGCCAGAAGTGGCCATAGTACAAGGGACTTAGTCCCACCCCACTAGCAATACATGCACAAAAAAACTGACTCAGAGCCAGTACAAGTTGAAATGCCAACCCAGACAATGAGGAAATCCTCCATTGAAAAACGACTCAGTTTTCTCAAAGTTTCGTCATGATTCATCTCATGTAATTATCAGACACTCTTTGGAAAATGTTTTAAAACATGGCACTCCAGGTGACTGCTTGGTTTGTCTGTGCTGTTGTACCAACCCTGAACCTCCCCACTCACACACTGTAACTGGGTATTTCCTGAGCACTCAGTCATCCATCTGCTTAAAAATTCAACACAAGAGCCTCCGATGGTCCCTAACACATGCTTACAGCTTGTTTCATTAGAAATCTGTATTCATATTACTTCGCTATCTGTGCCAGGGTTTCCCAGAAACTCATTTGCAGTATATCAGAGCCTCATTCATGATAAGATGATGTCACAGCCTCATCTGTGGCGTGAGCTTTTATAAACACGGTTAACAGCTAGGTCAGAGCTCATGAAACCATGAGTAAATATGTAGTAATAACTGCAGAATACTCTCTCCTGGGATATGAGTATAAAGCTGTATAGTGCAGTAAAGTGCATTACATCCCTGAAGATAGTACTCCATACAGTCGCTGCTGTGGAGGGGCACGCAGTAGCATAGTTGGTTGAGGCACTATGCTACAAGCCGATGGTCGCAGCTTCAAGTCACGATGAGGTCATTGGTCCCCCCCCGCTTAATCCTACCAGCCACACTAAGGCCCTGGGGTCGACTCAGCCTCTAAGAGAAATGAGTACCAGGAATTAATTAAATAATTTTCCTGGGGAGTAAAGCACAGCTGGCGCATAAGGCTGACAACCTTACCACCATCTGCGAGCTGATTGTCTAGATAATGTGGGACCCTCAACGTCTCACAACACTATGGGCCTCCACGGCCTGTTACAAGGTTAGCTTTACTTTTTTTTAATTTATTTTTTATTTATTTATTTTTTTTTAACACTCACTGCTGTGAAACATCAGGTAAGGGTAGAAGGTAAAAGGGGAGTTGATGTATAGATCCACATTTTCTTGACTTCGGCACTAGCTGGAGGTCCCGTCCGCATCACCCCCTGGGAAGGAAGCTCCAGTAAACATTGGATAGGAAGTTGGGTAGACCCTGAGCCAGTCTGGATGACATGGAGAAGTGAAAATTCTTGCCCCACCAGGGTTCAAACTCCTACTCCTCCGTCCTCCAGTCAGTAGTGAGTCCTTATACTGACTGAGCTATCCTGGAATAATTTAATAAAACTTTTGAATTGTGACTCACTGCAGTGAAATTTGTCTTTACAACAGGCAACAAAGGAGCCACGGCTATCCGCTTTGTGTTCTACAGTACTTCACTATGCTTCGTGTGTGCTCATTTTGCAGCAGGTCAGTCACAAGTTGCAGAGAGGAATGCAGATTATGCTGAAATTACAAGAAAAATTACATTTCCTATGGTAAATGTTCCACTTTGTTCTCGTGTTATACCATAAAACACAGGGTGGAGGAAATATCTGTAGAAATTGCATAGTTTGAAGAGAAGGTAGCAATTAAGCCAGTGTAAGAGCATGTCTGATACACAGATTGGTCCTGTTAGGCGATTTGTTTGTGCTTTGAACTGTCTCTGTGGAAATCACATATACACAGAAGATGTAAAGGGGAGTGGTAGCTAAATGTAGGTGTAGGCCATTTGTTGTAGGACTGGTAATGGACTTAATGTACTACTGCATGTGAGAATGTGAAATAAAGTATTAAATCTACTTAACTTTCTATCTTATAAGATCATATCAAAGTATGTGAAATATGCTGTGTTTGCAAATTATAAGCATTAAGAATTATGGCTGCAGAAAAATTAAATGCAGTACTACAATAGTGGAAATTGTACATAAGAATTAATTACTAAGTGTATATGTATTAATTCATAATTTGCTCTGGTCTCTCCATTAAAGTGGAAACATTTAAAGAAAAAAAAAGTTTTCTTGAAGTTCTGCCCAGAACCTTATGATGATAATAGTAGTGTGTCTGTGCATATGTGCATGGGGGAGAAGTGGAGGAACAAAAAGAATGGAGCCTGTATATTCATGTGGTAATGAACTCACTGTTTGCCAGAAGACTTGTATATTTGTGTTATAGCATTTTACTATACAACATCAGCGAATATGTAATCATTGCATATAAGGTGGTGTTATAATTTCAGGGTCGTACACTCAACTCACATGATTACGTATTCTGGTGTGGGGATTTTAACTACCGTGTGGACATGGACAAAGATGAGATGAAGGAGCTCATTAAGAAGGGAGACTATGATCAGATATTGCAACATGATCAGCTTAGAGTAAGTAATGGACATTAATACAGTTCTGCCCTTTGTCAGCTCCTTAATGTTTCAGGGTTCACAGGTTCCAAGTAAGGGGGAGGAGATTTTTCTCTCTTGTCCACAGCGTCCAGACCAGGGCCAAGTGTAACCTCATATTCTGAGGCCACGCCATAGTTCAAGTGGTTAGTCGCTGGCTTCCCACCACGGTGGCCTGGGTTCAATCCCAGGTCTGGTCAAGTGGGATTTGTGGTGGACAAAGTGGCGCTGGAGCAGGTTTTTCTCCGAGTACTTCAGTTTTCCCTGCCAATCTTCATTCCCCCAAATTCTCCATCATCATAATCACCTAGGGCAGGCTACAATAGGCCAATCAGTGGCTGCCGTGCCAAGTGGACCCAGTTGGACTCCACCCTCCACTAAGTGAATTAAAAAAAACTCGTATTCAGGTCTCCCACCAACTAAAGCAACTAGGGCATGAAGCTTACCTCTCACCTCAGTCTAGTGGACAGATCAAGCATGCATTGAGCTATAGCTCTACTTCCCCATGCATCTTTATGCTGTGATGCTTAATTAAGCACAGGGATGATTACATAGCCCATGAAAGTTTGTGACGATGCTATATTAATACAATTATTGACTTTTGGACTTTATCCATCATCAGATTAGCACTATCGATTGAGCCCAACTGAGTGGGCATTTTCCTGAGGATGGATATAGGGTCCATTGTATGAAATATTGTTTTTAATTGAAAAGTAGGACATAGGATAATGTCCAGAGACTCAATAATCATACAGAGCTCCTCATTTTTTATATCTACCAGTGCCTCGGAATATTACAGTGATAAAAGAAGTAACAGTTAAACTACATTATTTTCAGTGCTGTGCATTATCTGTGTTTGTGTATTATTAAGCATTCTTTACAAAGCAAAGGCGTGCCTTGTGTAGAGGTCATGTCTGTCCATCTACCTCTCTGTGTGTGACCTAGTATCAATGCCCTAACCACTGGTCAGAGTTTTTAAAAGTTCAGAATAAGAAACTGACTGAAAGATGTTGGGCTGTTTCATATTTGAGGCATGTTTACCTATAATGAAGGCCTCTTTATTTGAGGCCATATTTTCATAAGCAAGCCATAGTAAGCCATTGGGAATTTTATGTGCCACATTCATTCATACTGTGCTTTGTGCACAACTTTACAATCTTCTTCTGACTATTATCTTGGTGTTTGAGAAGGAATATCATTGACTCCTATGATGTGGACCTTGCTAATCATAATGTAATGAGTTCTGTTGGGTATAGCTCCATGCAGTGATCTTGGATATGTGACTGTTTACTTAGTTGTCTGTTTTTTTTTTATTGGAATTGAAGTAAAATATATATGTGTATATATATATATTTATGTGAATAGGAGATTATCAATAATTATTTTTTGTTATTTACATCACTTCCATCTTTGTACTGCTTTTTTCTGAGTTATATCGCTACAAAACTTGATCTATTTTCACTACAGATGCAAGACATATGTAGTTAAGTTAGATGGTTGAGGTGGCTTCTGCTTTGTGAAAATAATTCTGCCCTATTTGAAAACTCTGAATTTTGTTGAGTATTATATACTTCTGTGAGTGACGGTAAAAGCGTCAGTATGCACAGTACCAGTTATCACTGATAAGTACTACATCAGGTCTTAGAACTGTGTTCAATTCCTACTCACAAGTCCAGTTATGTGGCATACTGATATTCCAGGTTCAGCAAGAACAAGGAAATGTATTCAAGAACTTTTTTGAAGGAGACATAAATTTTGCACCAACATACAAATATGATTTATTCTCGGATGACTATGACACAAGTGAGAAATGTCGTGCACCGGCATGGACAGATCGAGTTTTGTGGAAACGAAGGAAGCAAATTCCAGACACAGGTATGAGAGAAACCAAGTTTCTTCATTATAAAGAGTTAAACAGTTCCATCCAGTGTGACTGGTGAAGATTTCTCATATTTCAGTTCTTCATGCCCTTACATGTTTTGGTCCATAGAGACCATCATCAGAGAAACATGTAAGGGCATGAAGAATTGAAATATGAGAAATCTTCACCAGTCACACTGGACAGAACTGTTTAACTTTTTATAGTATAGTTAGTGTGACGGACCAGAATGAAACAAATCAAATTCAAGTTTCTTCAGTTGCATGTTTATATATATAATTATAATTTCACAGTTACTTTTGTGCACTTTGAAAACTTCTTCCAGGTTTTACTATTAATAGATTATTGGGATTACTTGAAATTAATGTAAACATCCTGGCCTGTAATAAAAGCCACAGAGTAACAGAACTAAATATACTGAATTATAATGACGTTTGGAGCAGTATCACGTATGAGTTTGTTATTTGGAGGTTCTTATGTGGAGCTCATGTGTGGTAAGGTAAAGATAAAGCCATCTCTGTAACAGGCTGTGAAGGCCCATAGAGTTATGAGATGTTGAGGCTCTCACATTTTCTCTAGACATATGGTTCACAGATGGCAGTGAGGTTGTCAGACTTACATACTCGCCACCCTTTAGCCCCCAGGAAAATTCCTGGTACTCATTTCTGTTAGAGGCTGAGTCACTCCCAGGGCCATAGTGCATCTGGAAGGGTTAGGTCAATTGAAAAATTCAGTGACCTCATTGTGATTCAAACCCGCAACCTTCTGGCTTGTGGCACAGTGCCTCAAACAACTATGCTACTGCATGCCCTGGTAATGTGCGGTAGCTTCAGAAATTTTGGAAAGATAAGCGACTGCAATGATATTATGACTAGCAGGGTGGAACGTGCCCATGTGTGTCTCAGCATTCACGCTCGGTATGCAGGTCAGAATTTATCAGTTGCTGTTAGGCTACTAAGTTGTGATAGGTTCGAAAAAAGTGCTCAATATGTGGAAAGGAGCTCGGGTTCATCCCATTTCTATAGCTAATTATCGTCAGAGTACACACCTTCAGGACCTAACACATTTTTATTTCTACCACTCCTGGCAGCATCTACCAGAGTCAGTTTCTGAACTGCCAACAGCTGCTTTGTTGCGTTTGTTTCTACATCATTAAATTCCTAACAATAGTAGATTGATGTTGTACAAATAATTAATGAGTGTTAGATAGCATGTGAACAGATAGTAAGGGATATCTGTACGTGTGCATGTATGCAAGTAAGCGAATTGATTGAATGGGTCTGATCTCTTCTCCATGAACAAGTTTCAGAAGCTAATGTATATCTGCCATTAAGTCCCGTAAAGTGATGTCTGACAGTATGCTTCCTGCAGATTTACCATCAGACTGGAATCCAGGAAGGCTTGTACATTATGGAAGGGCAGAACTCAAACAGAGTGACCATCGTCCAGTAATTGCACTCGTAGATATTGAGATTTTCCATGTAGACGACGCTAGGCGCAGCCAGGTGTTCATGGAAGTGATTCAGGACTTGGGACCTCCAGATGCCACAATTGTAGTTCAGGTATGGTTTATTATTTCCAGCAGTTTCCCATTCCTGAGAATATTTAGTTCACAAAAGATGCTACTTTGTTTGGCAGTCAAAGGTGATGAGAAGCTTTTGGAATGTTTACTGTTGCTGTAACTCATTATGTTCAGTAATGATTCCATAATACTGACATGTTTAAATCTAGATGAAAAACTATACAGTACAGCAGTGTGACAAAGCTATGGTTGAGTTGAGGACTGATGCAGGTTGGGGAGAAAGTGACCTGAAAAACTGTACACTACAGCAGTGTGACAAAGCTGTGGTTGATTTGAGGATTGATGCAGGTTGGGGAGAAAGTGACCTGAAAAATTGTACACTACAGCAGTGTGACAAAGCTGTGGTTGATTTGAGGATTGAAGCAGGCTGGGGAGAAAGACTGTCCCTGCAATTGTATGTCATTCTAGGATGCAATTTGAATGGGCCTTAGGATTCAGGAGAAACTTAGCAGGATATATAAAATGAATTTAAAGGTAATGTCATTTCTCTGCATATCACCATGGCATAAAAATGAATAGTAATCTTGAAGTTATAGTATAGTTTCCTCTATTGAAGATTTTCCTTGCTTTGATGCTCAAATCAGCTCCTTTCCAAGCAACTTTTAAATGCAATTTTTGTTGTATTCTTAATTCTGGCCAAGGATGTCATAGGTCAATTTCAATCCTCCATCACCTTCATTCACAAAGGAAGGTTGTAGAATGTACCACTGTTACAACTGATTCTAGAAGTGTCATTGAGTCATATCATATACAGATTATATTTATTGTGGTTTAAACATTATCCGGTAGGTGTTAAGGTATTTCCATGTGAAGATAGTTGTGATACCGTACACCTTCATAGTTCAGTTGTGTAATTTGGGCAGTGGATTTTATGTTTTACATGTTGACAGGTTGATACTGAAGGAAGTGGAGAAGAGGTGTTTCATGACAACTTCATGATGGCACTCTTGCAAGACTTGTCACAGATAGGAGAAGTGATTTTGGTTCGGTTTGTTGAGGACACTATGTGGGTGACATTTAGAGATGGTCAGTGCGCCCTTGCTGCTGCGAAGAAGGGCACCACTCAGGTATGATATCATCTGGGGAACAGTTTCTAGAGATCCCATCTGTTTTTGAAGCTACTAAAGTTTCTTAAAATTTTGCATTACAGCTATTTAACGTTCTGAATTTCAGAAAGTTTTGAAGTTACATCTGACAAATTTATCCTACTTGGAATTTGTATTAGTGTGTGTTATATGTAGAAATGGGTCATGAATTTATAATTCTTGCTTACCTCATCATATACTTAGTAAAATCATCTGAAGTAAAGTAAGTTCCAGGCAATGTCTCTAGATTGAACTTCTTTAAAACATCCATGCATAGCACAGTCCGTCAATAATGCAACAAATTTTTCCTTATTCTTCCACTCACACTTCTAACACAACATGTTTCGGCCCTAGATGGCCATCTTCAGGTGTCTTAATATATTAAAACTGCTACATTGCATTAATATGTGATTAATTACATGCTGTACTCCACTTAATTTAATAAAATAAACTCCATTATCATTTTTTTTAAATTTTCTTTTTAAAATTTTATTTTATTTTGTGAAATTTTATTGCACCTCACTAGGGGTTTCATCCATTTGTTTAAAACTATATGTTTATCTCCAGGTGTTTTATTGCAGCAGCTTGTGTTTTATGTTCATTAGCCCGTTCTGTTACGTCTAAAATCTGTAATTATATTATAATATATTAAGATGCCTGAAGATGGCCATCTGGGGCCAAAATATGTTGTGTTAAAAGTGTAAGTGGAAGAATAAGGAACAATTTGTTGCATTGTTGATGGACTGTGTTATACATAGACGTTTTAATATGGCTTGCAACAGGATGCATAGATACGGAATCAAGAACTTCTTGTTTAACCTGCAGAAGATGATGTGAGCAGAAACTGCAGTGTCACATGATACTAAAAGAGGAATCAGGCAGATAGGCCTGTTGTGTCTCATACTGAGTTTGGCACTTCCATGCTATTCTTATTGGCCTTGCACTCTGCACTTGATGCATTAGAATGATCAGTATGCAGTGCCTATTGAATTTTATCTTACATTACAGGTATTGCTGAATATATGCAGCAGTAAAAAATGTCAAAAAGGGTGAAATCGCATAAATCAAACATAATTTTCCCTTCTCCCCTCACAGTCCTTCTGTGATCAAACCCACAATAATCCCCTTCCCCTTCTGTCCGCCTCTCAGTTGGTTCACAAACCATTCATACTGAAATTCATCAAAATTAGTTGATTGCATTAAAATGAAATCCCATTTTTGAACTTGCGTAAAATGAGAAGTACCTATGTGTGACAGTAATATGAATACATTTGATGAAAATAAGATCTAAAAGTTTGTGATGATGGTAAATTGTTACAGTTATTACTTTGCTGGACATTATCCATCATCTTGTCCATTCTAAAAAACAGTCTAGTTTCTATTAAAAAACACAACGTTTCGAGAACTGGAATCTGTCCCCGTCTTCAGGTAAAACCTACTCAGTTGGGTCCAATAGACAGAGCTAGCCCCTATCTCCGGAGATAGGGGCTAGCTCTGTCTATTGGACCCAACTGAGTAGGTTTTACCTGAAGACGGGGACAGATTCCAGTTCTCGAAACGTTGTGTTTTTTAATAGAAACTAGACTGTTTTTTAGAATGGACAAGATGATGGATAATGTCCAGCAAAGTAATAATTGTAACATTTGATGAAAGTATGAATATTTATGTGTGACTTGTCAGTATGTGAAATTTCTTGTGTACTGTCTGCGACCAAGAAGAAATCCAAGTGAGAGGTTGAAAGGAAGAGGCAATGGAAGTCCTGCTACTAAATGCCTCAATTTCCTTGACCGCTTTTTTTCAGTTAGGATAGCATGCACAGTGTATATTTTCTCTCCTTTGAGCTAAGGACCAATGACCTTATTGCTGAACAGTAATTTTCATACCTTTTGTTGCTGTGATATTTTGTGAAGAAGTGCAAGAATGGCCCAGCAGTCTTGGCTTGCATGAAGGATATAGCAAATATATGTCTGCTGCAATTTACTCGTTACTCTGTGAATAATATTTTAGAAAATTACAGGCATAGAGATATAGTTACTCTGGACGTAATCAGTAATTTCTTTGTGCAGTTGTGCGGACATGTTTTGAGGCTGAACTTAAAAACTCCCAATTGGAAAGAACAAACAGAGAAGGAAATTGAACTCTGTACAAATAACACAATTCCACTTTGTGAGAATGTGGAGCCTATCAGTGTTACCAATGGTGATGAACTATACAGTAAGTTGGTTTTGTGCTTTCCGTTTTGTTAAAATGTTATTTTTTAATCAGATTCTGTATGTACAGACTATTGAAGAAGAGAACTGGGGATACAGAAGTGTATATTTGACTTTTTGTGATGGGATCCATATCATGAAACTGTATTATAACTTGGCGAAGCTAGTGGGCACTGTTTTCACTTTTGTGAATCATGCCTCACATAAAATTATCAAGTCACTGAGAACAGTAACTGGAATGAGATGGAACAAAATAATTTCTGATAGTTGCTATTATCATTGGGTTGAATTCTTTGAATTGTTAATATTTTAATGTATTATTTTGTGCCTTTAGATGCTAGTAGGCCAGAGGATGAAATGCTGGGAACTGGTCTAAGTGTATCAGATGGTGCAGATCCTGGACCAAGGCTGGGAAATGCTCCACCCCGGCCTGCCCCACCATCCAGACCTCCTCTTCCTACTGTAATGTCTCCATCTCAGACCAAAAAGCAAATACCAAGGGTGAGTTAATTTTTTGTAATGTTAGACTGAAAATTGTAGTTGCAGTGATGATGAGTAAAACAGGATGTTCTAAAATCATTGGTAGTGAATTATAATAGTGTTCTGTGATAGACTCTTATCGTATAGAACAATGAAACTTATAGATACTACTGCTGGAGTTCTAACAGTATGTTATCCTAATGATGGAAAAATTATTTTGGAGCAAGTAGTATAGATGTACGAATATGAAGGAGAGTCAGTAAATAGGTCACAAATGTAAGTAAAACAGCTGTAATAGACATAATAGGTTTTCTGTGTGTATCACTAGGTAGCAGCACAATCCAGCTTCATGACAGTCTAGGTAGGAGACGTGCATGCGCATGTTCAGAAGCTGGTTTCAGTAGTCAAAATGGTGACCTTGCTTAGGGAAAATACTACTGAAGAGCAGTGTTCTGTTATGTGTTTTGTGTGGGCAATATGGCTCAATGCAAAGGATATTCATCGAGGAATGTTTATGGTGGGAAGTGTTTGTCATGTAAAGCGGTTCACAACTGCGTTGAGAAATTCCCCCAGGGACGTTTGAAAGTTGCAGATAATGCCAGACTAGGTCGTCCTGTTGAGATTGTGACAGAAGCAACTGTGCAGAAGGTGGAAGAGTTGATTCAAGCTGACGAGTATAAGAATAGGCAGTGTAGCAACTGTACTAGAGTGTTCCCATGGTTTAGCATACAGCATAATGCGTGATTGTTTGAAGTTTTTGAAAGTGTGCTCACAGTGTGTGCCCAGAGAACTAAAGGATTGATAAAAAATTAAATGAAGCAAATGGGTTTATCCTTTCTACATCTCTTACAGTATGCAGATGAAGGAGAAGATATGCTTAACAGGTTACTGGGGATGAATCATGGGTACATCTCTACCAACGTGCATCAGAGTATGCTTTAATGCAATGTAAACATCCCTGTTAACTTCACCCAAAAGTTGAAGGTTATGCCATTAACCAGAAAGGTTGTCCTTACCGTGTTCTGAGATTATCAGGGAGGACTGTTAGTCCATTTTCAGAAGCTGGTGAAAATGTGAATTCTGCATTGTACTGTGAAGTTCTGTTGTAGCTTCAGGATGCAATTCTCAGAAAACGTCCAGGCATTTGGAAAAAGGGCAATTGCTTCATCATGACAGTGCCAGACCCCGTACAGCCCAAGCAGCCCAGGAGAGAATTTAAGAACTGTAGTGGGAACTTCTTGAACATCCGCCTTACAGCCCTGACTAGGCTCATAGTGACTCCCACCTGTTTGGTCTGCTAAAAAAACCACCTTGGTGGCGAATGTTTCACTGATGACAAAGAAGTTGAAGTGAAGGTGCAGAAGGGGCTCAGGAAATAGTCGAAAGACTTCTGTGCTGCAGGTTTCAGTGCACTGGTAGAGTGATGGGGCAAGTGCTAGTGTTGGTGGAAGATATGTTTGAGAAATAAATGTTTTTTCCACGTTCGAATATCACATGTTTTACACTTTATATCCATCCGTGACCTATTTACTGACCGTCTCTTGTACTTGACAGTAAAATGCATGGAACTTCAAGAGTCGTTATGTACATATATGCTGTGTGGTTTAACTCTGTAGTGTTGTTGGTACTTAGTATGAATCTTGGCAGGGAAATGGCTCTCGTCACTGAGTTTCTTATGGTTTCCGTCCTTCACTGCCAGCAGGAATACTGGACAGAATCTGAAATGTGACATAATTGGTTGATTCCCTATTGCCCTTGTATCACATATGATGCTGCACAAACTCCATAGCTGATACAGCATCATTAACAACCTGTGAGTTATTAACTGGTGGAAAGTTTCATTGCCATTGAAATGTGGTTTGAAGTTATGTAGCATCAAATTCAAGAAGTAACTCAGCAAAATGTTGTTGCTTCATTTGTTCAGATTTAGTTTACTGGATTTTGACAGAATTCTTCTAAAGATGGCGTGCTATATGTATATATGTATATTTGTAAAAACAGGCATGTAACATATAGCATGCTTTTACAGTTTTGTTTTGAAACATTCAAATTGATATATCATTCAGCAGATAATGTAGTAACATTGATTAAAAAAACTCTGTGGTTTTAGTCCGCAAGCAAACTATACGAACCGAGCAACCGCCTCTTGTCGGCAAAGTTAGTGCCAGCTTTAGTGGATAGAGGGTGTCGCGTGGTCAGCGCAATGAATCCCCACTGCCATTAATTTCGGTTTTCTAGACGAGCTGATATTTCCTTGAAGTAGCTCCTCAGTTATCCTCATGAGGCTGAGTGGACCCCGTTCCAGACCCACTACTTCTCAGAAAAAATGTAACGCCGGGTAGTAGTGAAGTAAAGTGTATTCTTAATTAGCTGATGTGGCCCCCAGAATATTATATTCTTGTAAAGTTTCATTACTTGTCACTAGTGTCACATGTCGTCAGAATTTATCGAAAGGATCAGGAGACATAAAAGTCGTTGATCTGATTGCGGTAACATATTTTCATGTTATTCACAAGTGTAAGAAAACACCTATTCTGGATGCTGAGATCACAGCTGCAGGTAAAAGTTGCATTCATAAATCTTCACTTTTCTTCTTTCTTGACAGTTTTTATACCAAATGGACATATCACTGATTATGTAATTAGATCGTACTTAGCAATATTGTTAGCAGTGGTTGTAACAATAAGAATCTAGTGAGATAGTGAGCAAGTACAAGTATAAAGATGGACTGCATATGTAATTACCTCTTAGGAACTGAATGCTTTTACCTTAGTTGGAGTTACAAACAAGAACATTCCTGCTGGAAACACATACAAGGCATATTAACAGAAGTGCACCTGTCAGGTGGAGTGTGGTGATTTGAATTGTGTGAAATATAAATGGTGTTAATGTCCTTTCTGGTGTTTCTAGGCTGGAGTTGTAAGCATTCCACACTCTCTCATCCAGCCTAGTCAGCAAGATGCTCCCATCAAATCCGCAGACCTCAGTTGCTCACCCATATATGGTCAGCTGGAAGATAGTGCTGCTATCTACGAGGAAATTCAAGATGGAGAACATAGCTCTCCAATCCCATTGGGTCCACCACCTCCACCACCTCGTTTTGATTCCACTGAGAAAGAAGACTTCACAGCTCCACCATCTGCCCCACCTCCCCTACCACAGAGACAACTTCCACCTCCTCCAGTACCAGATCGTTCTGCGGTTCCTCCCCCAATTCCTGCTCGAGCTGGTATACCCCCACCTATTCCAGCTCGGACCTCGAACACAACCACTCCCACTCCTGCAGCTATCCCTCGTTGGAATGTAAGTTGAACCAACATAGATCTGAGGACTAGACTTACCATATATAGTACAATAGACTGGTGTATATTCTCTATATAGCTGTAGAAGTATTGTACGGGATTCAGTATTTATCATTTATCCTGGCTTCACAGCTAAGAATTCAGTATTAACTAAGTAGCACAGATCTACAACTAGACTTCAACGTATGCTTTTGCACTGTATTGTGTTTATTTGGTGTTCCATTGAATCTGTTAGAAATTAACTTATATAAGGTATATGATTTCAGTTTTGAGATTTTCATGGTGGTGACTGTTCAGATTGTGGTCTTCTGTATTGTGGCACCATGTTGTTTTGTGGGTAGATGCCAGGGGTTTGGAGGATCATGATGTCTTCATCTTCAGGGCTAAAGTATATAGGATCAGAAATTGGTTGAATTATGTAGGCAGGTTATGTGTAAGTGGTCAAAGTAACCTCGCCCTACACATTTTGACCCTAAGGGTGTGAGTAACAGAGTCTTCTGAAACGTGGTTATCCACCTGCAAAACTACGCTGTGTCATAACCTAAAAGATCACAATCTGAAATGTGTATGTTTACTAGACATTTCAATAAGAATTAGTGTCAATATTTATGTTTCTCTTCATACAGTGATCCCCAGCTTTGCCACATCTCTGAAAGTTCAACAGTTAGTGGAATTGACACAGTGCAGTTCTGACATACAATGTTAAGTATTATTTTGATGTGAAATTTTCAGATGTGGATTTGAGAGCTGTACATACCAGATTTTCACACAGCCAAGATGAACTTATTTGATGATAAATTAATCTGTCAAATCTGTTTGTAGATTTTTCTGTTTACATATCAAAGCCTTCACCTCAGGCGATGCGCGCGCGCGCACACACACACACACACACACACTTTAAAATTTCAGCAGAGGTAAGATAGCTCATTGAGAACTTGAGACATTTATGAAAAACAAGAACAACTCATTTGCATATCCACCTTTGGCATATTAAACTTTCAAATGAATCAGAAACCATGCCTTCAGTTGCCTTTCCTCTGAAATCCACATCAGTAAGAATTAGGGCTTATTCCATCAGTTTTCCATTTACAATCAAATTGTCACAAAGTGAGAAAGATAATCACGTGAAGAGTGAAACTGAGGCTATTTAAGAGGTGAAGCATGGTCATTTTGTCCTAATTGACCGAAATTAAACAAATTTGCTCTTTACTGTGTACGGGAACATCTGAGAATAACTCTGTTCTGTTTTGCTACCTCTCCAAACAGAGCTTAGCATTAATTATATGTACAGATGAATTTGCTGTAGGCAGTTAACTTCCCAATATCTGCGTGTATAGGGAATTTAGAGAACTACAGGATGACAGGTGAACATATGGGCATTGCAACTTGCTTTTGAAGTAACTATGAAAACAGTAAATTTTCTTTGAAATGTTTTCCAGTTGCACAGTAATTCCAGATGCTTGGATACTGGATAACCAGCAGTTTACTGTAGTTCTGTAGTTGAAAGAGAGGACTGTTTCTCAACAGGTTGGAGACTTGTAGAGTTGTGTGATTGAAATAGAGCAGTTTTCATACTTTCATTGAAACTTGCAAGTTATGAAAATATAAAATTGTTGCATATTCAATTAAGCACAAGACCATGAAGAAGTGTGGGAGGGTAGACATGCAGATCTACACAAGCACAATATCAAGCTTAGAAGATTTAGAGTAATATTGGTGACATAATATGAATTATACAGGAACTGACCTTGATTTCTAAATTTTAAACTGAACTTTATTTAAACAGTAGCAGCGCGTAACAGTTGAGTGTGATACACAGCAACGGAGGCCTATAACTTAACTCAGCTGAGCAGCCCCAGGTAGAGACGGAGCCGTGTTGTAGCTATTATGGACCTGTTCAATGAATGAAGCCCTCTCAATATTCAAGAGTGATATCAAAGTATGAGGTTTCACAGGCACAGATTAATGTATACTTGCTTCTTCACCCACAGATTCATAGTTTTGTTAAGTGCTGTTCAGTCTTGCAAGTTGGGAACTGCTGATGTCCAGTATTTTTTAATTTTGTATTCAGACTAATGTAAATTATTGTTTGCTGGTATGCATATTTTCTGTGATAGCATATTTTTATATAGATATCCATCGCCCTAAAAATAAATATTTTGTAGGGTTGTGGGTAATTTTATTGAGTATTAATGTTATTTTATTGTATATAGTCATTTAATACTGGTCTCGATATGTTCCATAGTAAGCAAATACTATTTATTTTTAGTTTTGTATGTATATGAGCAAGCAGAAGTTTTTCAGTGCTAGCTGTTTTTGAGCACAGAGATTATGTCTTGCTGGTTGTATGACATAGATATCTTATTTAACCCAATATTTTTGGGATATGTTTGGGTTGAAAGTGGAAATCCCACTTCTGTCCACTGGTTGGCTTTCTTGACAGATCAGTATATAGCAAGGTGACCCAAAAGGCTCATGAAATTATTCTCATATTTACATACATAATTACACAGTGTGCTTGAGACAGATAAAAAATTAATACAAAATTTTGGTAAGACAACCTGAAAGGAAGGGACCACTTGAAAGATGGTGTAGATGGAATTCATCTGTCTCAGTGTCAAGCTGTTCTGAACATAGTAATGAACATTTAGGTTGAATGAATGTGATGAATTTCTTGACTAGTTGAGTGGCTGTTCAAGAAAGATTGCTTCATGGAGTTCATTATTTTCTCAACTTCACTCAGATTTTTTCATTATTTTCCCATGCCATTCTAATGAGAACCATACAGGCAACAAACTTGGGTATGAGATGCTGGAAAACTTTCAGATTGCTAGACCATATAGGGAAGGTGCTAAGAGGATGAATCTAATGAAAGGCAGTTATGCCTGGGTGCTTATTGGCAATGTAAGAAGATGGTGCAGTAATTTTCCTTCACTTAAAGTAATGTCAAAACATAATTGAATGAACAAGTATTGTGTTGTGTTTTTGGATATTATCCATCATCCTGTTTTTTATTTAAAACAAAGTTTTGGAGACTGGATTCTGCCTCCATCTTCAGGTAAAAGCCTACTCAGTTGGGCCAAATTGATAGAGCTAGTCCCTGGATAATGTCTAAAAACACAATAATTATATTGATATGCCATCATCACAACTTTTATGTTTTGTCAAATTGAATGTATTTTAATGTGAATTTACAGGAAGGGCTAAAGTGTGGTGGTAAATTGGAAGGAATCCTGGATTAAAAATTGATCTGTAAAATTCTGTTTTGCGTGTTAAAAAACCTCAAATTAAAACTGTGTATGTGTTGGCAAAAATAATCACTCATGCCTATTAGAAGTGGAAGAAATCTACATTTAGCAAACCAGTGGATGGAGTTGAAGGAGCAATACTGTAGCATTCATATGCTTATGTTATTGCTGCTTCAGTTTCTGACAGAGGTATATGAAGTATTTTACCCACTAGCCACATTCACACTGTGTGCTTCAGTTTCCATAATACGAGCATATTCTTAGTGATCTCTGTATTCCTCTACTTCGAAATGAAATTCACTGAGGAACCAGTTGTGATCTTTTCAGCTTGTTGAAGCTTCAGATCTGAGACTTATTTCCAGAATGTTTTAATTCTTAAACTTGATATTTCAATGAGCTGTGCCATATTTGTGTTATCAACAAAGTCTCAGGTTCAGACCCGGGTGACTGCATGTGAGATTTGTGGTGGACAAAGTGGCATTAGGACAGGTTTTCTCCAAGTACTTCAGTTTCCCCCCGCCAATTCTCATTCCATCAGCTGGTCCAAATTCATTATTCATCTTGCTGTTGATTATATAATCTTGATACTGATAGCATTGTTAAATAACAACTAAAAAAAATGCATTTCCTTGAGTTTCTGTGTGTTACCCTGCTAATCCCCCTGCATGTTTATCTATCATCACACCTTGAGGTATGTGATATGTCTTAACTATGCAGCACATTATCATATCCTTGATCTTTATACTGGGGATTTATCACTGACCTGCACTGTCCTGATTACAGAGGAAGGAAGCCTTAGATTCGGTAAACTGTTATTAATTGTAAGTCATATTTTTCCTTAGGACTGCAATGATATAATCTTTCTGGTACCTGGAGGTTGCCTTTCTGTAACATATATTTAATACAGATTGCTTAACTTCGAATAAAAGTAAAGTATCTTTTATCAACTTTTTTTGCTTTATATTGTCAACACAGGAGCCTTTCTTGTTAAGTTGTATTCAGTTATTACAAACACCCTCACAATTCTTGCAGAACACTAAAAAGTCAGTGTTAAATATAATGCTTTAAGTGGGTCTCTTTATGAGGGAAATGCTAAATGCGGGAGAATGTGATTACCCATTTGGTCAGTCCCAGTTTTTTTTTCTATATTCAAATTTAATCCGTTGCATAGTTCTGTCTATAGCAGTCTTTGGGATTTATCCTCTTCATGTAGAATATGTTGCAAAAAGCACGGGACATCTTTAAAAATTGGAATATGATGAAGACTGGATTGAATTGGATGAGAATCCAAACAATTTATTGTATTTACCAGCATCTGAGGTACAGCTTTTTCCTTAAAAATGTGTCCCTAAAAATTGCAATGTCTTATAAACTACTGGAGTTAAAACAAATCTTAATTTTTTTTTTTGTAAACCGTTTTATGTCATATACATTGGTAAAAATGATATGTAATATGGTGTATATTTATGTAACAATAATGCATCTTTAGTATTCAGTCTCTGTGCTGTTTTATTCAAATTGTGTACAAAGTTAAGACTGTAATCCATTGAGGTGACAGTTGTGAGTATAGATGTTCTTAGATCCTCATAAATAACCAAAGTAAGTGAATATATGCACATGTAAGAAGTTAAGTAGTTAACCTTCTTAATGTGTAACCATGGTGGGAAATGCAGGTGGTTTATTACTCCTACTTAACCTTGTGAATGTTATGTGAGATCTTTTATTTCAAGAGCAGAAGCGATATAATGTAGACATATTGAAAATTCTTCATATTCTCTCTCTCTTTCTTTTCCTTCACTCTTCTCCCACTCTTCTGCTTTCTGTCACAATATAATTGCCTTTCTTCATAAGTTAGCTTTTCTCATAAGTTTTTTTAGTACATTTAAACTAAATATAAATGCTGAAAAGTATTTTACAGCCAGACTGTACCATTGTTGAAGTTGTATTCAATTATTTCTGCCGCAGCTTTTAGTCAGAACTATACCTCTGAATTTCAGTCACAAAAATATTTTTACAAAAGAAAGACTAAATAAAAAAATCCAAAAAACCATCCCACAGTTACTGTTGAGCCTCTGCTGCAAGCATTTTTTAACAGTGAGCTTAATACTGTAGTGTGCTCTTAGCTGAAGAAATTTCTGAAATAATTTTTTTTAAGAAATGAAGACCAATTTAAGATATAGTGAGTAAAGGATATTAGTAAGTTTTACATTCTTAGAAACTATAGAATAATTTTAGAGTACATTTTAATTTTTAATGTCAGTTTTGAAGTAGTTTTTAAAACATTTCTTTTTTTAATATTTCAAATAAAATGTTTATGGAAAAGATGAATAGGATTACTTTTAAGGACAGCAAAATATATAGGTCCAATTTATAGGCATGTTACATGTATTTATTCAGTTTCTTGTCTCTTTTTTTGTCACTATTTTGAGGTATTTCTGTGACAAATGACAAATGAAATCTGAAACTTCACTTTTCTCTTTGTCATCTCATTCAGAACATATCCGGGAATAATAATCTCTAACAGAGATTTACCCCCACACTTCTGTGCACCTTCACTGTGTGACACGTCACCGAAGGACAGCGGTATCTAATAGGAATACAGTAGCATTGGATGATCACTATGAGAAGCATCATGTACTGATTTGTATCCTTCATCATGATGTCAGTGAATTCAGTAACATAAAAACTGTGGAAGCCTGTTGATGTTTAAACAAGGTCCAGATTTCATTAATTACTGTATTATAAATTTGTATATGTTGAGACTATAGTTATAATAATTCAAATGTTAATAAATTTTACTGTTAGTGTCACTGGAAGGTAGCAGCTCTTGGCTGTAGCTGAA